TGACTTACCACAAGCACACACAATAATATGAAACAACAAATAGCTAAAGAAAGAAAGATGACAAAAGAAAAAACTCAAAACAAAACATACAATATAACAAAAAGGAATGAAATCAAATAAATATACACAATAAACGATATATATCTACAATTAATTAAAAAGCAAGTTGTGAGTGCTGCAGCAAGCCAAACAGGCCATAGTTCAGTGCAGGTGTTGCCCAAAAGCAACGCACTGATTTTCAGCTATCGCCTAGTGGGTAACGCGAAGTGGTGTATCACAGCAAAAAGCAATGTGTAAGTAATGTGTGTCAGTGTTAACGTGTCGATGGGAGCGTCCGTGGAAGCGTACAGGTGTGGCAAGCATGAAATTTCAAAAACCAACTAAAAAAAAATATATATAACAAAAAAAAAATATTATAAATTTTACAAATTGGTGTTTTTTGGAAGCCCTCGCCATACAAAGCGCTACAAATTATCTAACTTTTGCCTCTCAAAAATAACTTCCCTCAAATACTTTTTGAAGGTGGACTTAGATTGAAGAATTGAATTGAATTGAAGAATAGAATTGAAGATGAGGTTGAACATTAGCGACCGTACTTTTATAATAAAACTGTATGACAGATGCTACGTCTTCCATCGGATTTTCTCTACAAATATTATAATGCCAAATATTTTATATGTAAAACAATGCAAGCAAAAAGTATGATAGACAAATAAGAAGAACAATATTTTAAACAGTGGCGTGCGTGTCTTTGTGTAAGTTGTGATTTGTATGTGTGTTTATAGTAGTATGTTTACGTGTGTATATATACATGTCGGTGGGCGCACATACACTTAAAGGACTTCCTGCAATAAAAAATTTGAGTTAAGTCACATCCCCGAATAAGCATTTTTACCTGTAAGAGTATTCTGTGTGTATGTATATACCTAAACGTGTTCACAATAACTTGGTAATTAAGTCCTCCGTTTCATAGTTGAGTTTCTGCATAAAGTCATTTAGTGTAAAATGGAAAGATATACACTAGAACCTTGTTTATTTATTTATTATACACTCAGGAACTGCGGACATAGTACTGTCTATTCGCAAGAGAATTTTAAGTTATTGTAATATTACTTGCATACATTCTAAAATTTGTAGCGTATCACGTATCACAATTAATGAACTCGATATTGGTACCTACCATAGATATTATATTATACATATATGGGTTCCTACCTGCATATTTGGGCATCTATTACTAGACTCGCTCAGGGGTGTCGAGTCAATTTCTATTTTCTAAATGCTTTTATTATTTTTCATGTCAAGTTATCCAGGAAACTTTTGAGATGCCAGACCTGTTACTTAACTCTAAATAACCCTCGGTTGTTCTATAAAACACCTCGTATCGTAATGGGCATTTAGCACGTAAATCGAATGAATATCTTAAACAGTTTCAATAGAGAATTGCAATGTATTCAAAATACATAGATAGTTTGAAGACCTACGCAATACCACCACAGTAGATCATCGTCTAATAGTTCGCTGGACATATGAATTATGGACATTTGAGTTTGTTAAACATTGCTTCATTTCGCTATTTAGTTTGGAAACAAAAGCGTCTGTTAAAAAACCGTGTTTTGAAAAAGTGTTTGTTTTTGTTATGTTAGATATCGTTATCGATTTTTTAAATATTGTTTAGAGTTAACGCATGTATGAATTGTGTCGGTGTTCGAGTTTGTTGCACAAACCGTAAGCAATGAGGACATTATCAAAGGCCGGAACTTATCAGTGGACGTCGCGACCACTTCTAATTTTTATCGCCAGCCAGTCTTTGAAGTCATACTCGGTTCAAGATACCTAAAGTTCGTCTTTTGTTGTTTCCTTTGGACAATGTGAAAATTGTTGGACAATGCATAAAAATGTCTGATAAAAAATTTGAGTAATTAGGTTATCGCGATTGCTAAACATTGGATTGTAAGTCAATAGATACGAAAGTATATTTTTGAATCACGTATATTCATTTGTCTTTTAAAAAAACCAACGACATTGAAACGCTAGTTTGTTAGAAAAAGGCAATGTACCTACCAGGGTACTCAGAAAATTTTGCTAAAAAAAGTTTTTTTATATGAAATACTGGCCAATTATGATTTATTTTGAAAATACGTTTATTTACTGGTAAAAATCATAATGTTTCTATTTCTAATTTCCCTCTACATTTTCTTTCACGAGCTAATTTGAAACATAAGTGTCTCATGAAAAATGGGTCTGCGTCAAGTTTCGTCAGTAAAACCGGACGAATCGTTTGATAGACTTCAGCCGGCCTTGGTGGATTAATGCTATTTTGATTTCATAAGGGAACACCAGATACCCCGTAAAAAAAACTAGCAATCAAAGTCTTCTATGCGCTCTCATTTAATTTTGGTAGGCGTTGGTTCGATTTGAAACAGCCAAACCGTCGAATGGCGTTTCGTTTCTGGGGGTCTACTCTCGATCTCCGTCTGAAACAATTACTGCCAAATAAGCAACACTTGACCAAATGAAAAGACGCGTGATGCGAATGAAGCTTCGTACTTGATACTTGTCTTTTAATTTTGTCGAATATTACTTATTTGACAGTAATTGTTTCCGACGAATGTCGGACGCAGATCGAGAGTAGACCCCCTGAACCATATTGACAAATCCAAGATTCATAACCTGTAATAATATCGTAAACGCACCGAGTCGAGCCTGCTTCAAACTTAGCAATCATGTTACGGCACCATTCCACACGGGCTGCTTCTGAGCATCGGTGAGATTGAGTGGCACCCAAACCAAGCTCCTCTCGTGAAGATGCTCGTGAACACTTCCCGATCCGATCTATAATACGCGCTGAATGTCTGTATTCATATGTGATTCGCTTATTCTCCTCAATTAAATATTTCACTGCTTAAAATTCATTATAAACGGTACGTGGTAGAAGAGTCTTAAACTTTTGTGTCACTCCCCTTACAACTCTGATTTGGCACCAAGTGACTTCTTTCTATTTCTTAAAATAAGAAATAAATTCAAAGGGACACAGTTTTCTGCGCCGGAGTATACAATAGCAACGTTCGAATAGGCAGTAAGAGGTGTCTGAGGCGGACTAGAAAATGTATTTCAAAAATTGGTTCACCATGAAACATTGCGTAAACACGGTAGAGTCCTTTGAAAATATTTAATTTAAAAAATTATACCCATAAAACCGTTTTTTTCTGTTTCGCAAAACTTTCTGAGTGCTTATATGTGAATCAGATCCGAAAAATTAGTTTCATTTCCTAAACATTTTGACTTTTAAAAGTATTTTTTTGAAGTGTTTTGTTGTGTTTGTTTCAATTATTAAGGAACTCTTATCGCTAGAAGAGGGGAACAATAATAAATTCAAAGCCTTTCTCTGTGTATTCGGGTGCTTCTTTGTCTATCTACTGTATCGTAGTTTCCATATGGATGGACTGAACTCAAAGCGATTTTTATTATTTGAAGGTTAATTTAATCGACATGGTTCTTAGCTATATTTGATGATCATCTGTTCTGCTGTTTAAAGATCTTCATCTGTTTTCTAATTTGGTACAGGGATCTCAGTGATAACATGAATATTTATTTTATTTCCACTTGTCCGATCCAATTGAAATTTGGTATGGGTACTATGGAAATCCGACGACATTATAATAAAATGTGGTGACTTTAATCTGATGCTCAACCAGGACAGACTGCAGACTACTCAACTACATAGGGTGCGTTCCCATTATATTCGTAACGTTTTATTTATCGTTGGACGACTGTCGCGTCTAGCCTGTTCCCATATCACGACTGTCTGCCGTGACTTTGTCGTGGACGTTTATATTATCGTTGAACGAATATCGTGTCAAGCTGTTCCCACGACGGTCGTTCTAGCTTTTCCCATTGACTAGACAGTCTGTCGTCGTAACGTCAAAAAGTCGTGAACGACAGTTAATCGTGTTGTTCTATATGTGAACAACTTCATTTAAATATACACGCCACGTCACTTTAAACTGCACGACTATCGCGGTACCTTCAATGAACACTGAGCCAACTTTATGTTTTGGTCATCTTCTGTTATTTTTGTAAATAGCTATATTTATTTACTAATACTATATTCCTCGAATTTTTTAGAAAACAAAAAACAAAACTCGAAAACAAAAGCAAAAAAAACAAATTTTATACAAAAAAGACAAAAAACAAAAAACAAAATAAAAACAGAACAGGTCCAAAACGTGGGCGTAGTGTTAATTGGAGGTGTCGATCTGTCGTCACGACATAATGGGGACGCACCCTTACAGTAGAACTATGGTGTTTGGACTAATTAAATTCATCTAGATTGTTAGCTTACGGATGGATAACATAATTGACTTTTTGGTGTACATTGTTTTGTACCGGAGGGTTTAAAAAAACAATACGTTTAGTGACTGTATTAATTAGCTAAATAATTATGATTCTATACAGTTGGGGAGAAGAGTAATAGCTGAAAAAGAGTCTATTAAATGACCTTAACATTTCATCATTGTTTTTATATTAAGTGTGATTAATCGGAAATTATCATTAATCATTATTAATAATTGCCGAAATTCGAGGTAAAAGTAATACATTAATTACTTTTACCAGTGATTATTAATAATTAACCCTAAGTACTGATAATTGTAATTAATTTTCAGTTTTATGTTGTTTACAAATATAATATCGCAAGCAGGAATTAACCTTTCGGGTACAAATATTACTCAATGGAAAGCAACAGCAGCCAGAACCGAACCTGTTTGCCTTTTTGAGCTGTTTCGGCCCCCTTTATGTTAGGTTAGTATACGAAAAAGCTTAACGTGTTGCGGCAAGAGTTATTTCTTTGCGTTTTTTCATTTGCAATTGCACTGGCGAGATTTATTATTATTATCGAAGAGAGTAGTGAATTATTAATAATGACCGGTTATTATTAATAATTATCAAATTAATTACACTTATCGTAACACATGCTCAATACTCAATACCATACATACCAGTGGTGATTTTTTACCGCCGTCCTTCCTCGGTGGTGGAGGCAACAAGTCAAGGTGTTTTGGTCGGGAAGGTTCTTCGCCGCCAACAGCGCCTTCTTCCACAGCAATTTTTGAAGCAGAAACAGCACCTGACTCCGAAGCACCGCATTCTGATGCTCCTTCTGCCGATTATAATTATTATTGCTACTTTTACTAATAAAAATTTGCTGTAGAATTAGTGAGGTATCATAATCATATGAAAGTCGTCAGAAGGCTTGATAAAATTGAAGAAATGAAATAAATTACTCGAATACCTGGAAAACACATTATGGGATGTAAATTTGGAAAATGCTTGCAAAAACCGCACTGTAGACGTATATTGACATTGGCACAGTAGTATTATGTAAACTAAGGTGTAGGGACGTAAAATTATGACGTACTTCATCAAACCAGCTGTTACCCGTTGCGTTGTATGTCATAAAACTATACATAAAAGCTAATTATATCCCACCCACACGGATGAGAAAAGAGAAATAGATGTTAGGTAAGATGTGGCGATTTAACGTAAACCTTTAACCGTTTCTGTCTATAATTATTAGTTGAATGTTTATTTTGTATGCTTTTCTGTTATTATTTGTTGGTTGAGATGAAATGGCATAATACATGGTTTCTTTTAATAGAAACCATGTATTACTTTAGTTTTGTTATTTTCGGAAATTGACGCAGTATTTTACTTCTTTATCATCACAATCTATAAAGTAATTGATGGAAGTTTTCATAGTTATTTTTGAAAGTTGTGGAATAAAAGCTGTTCATCAAAAATAACCCACAACGATATTGTGACACTTGTTATTTGAATTGAACGTTGAATGAACTGCTTTTCCAGAATATTTCAAAATCTCCAATTACAAGGTGAAAATTGTGGTTATGTAGGCCGCGTGTAAATCAGCAGTTTGTTTCGTACCTTCATAGAACTTGTTATTTCAACACTAAAATTTTATTAGCTGTTTACCTGCCGCAAAATATCAATTTATTGCAAGGTATGACTTTTCTACGGTCTTTAATTCTTGTTGCCAAATGGTCAGTGTTAAAATGAATGATTAAACAAGCATTTCGAAATGAGAACTATAATTAGAAGCCTAGAAAATGCTGATATGATTTCAGCAACCACAACACTAACGCATCGTGTGAATGAAAGTGTTCAAAAGCAATAAGATAAAAAAAAACACCGTTTTTTCACATTTCGTCTGATTTTATGTTTTTATTTACATGTAAGACGTTTCCACTTGAAAACACACGAGTCTTGCTCGTAATGTGTTTTCCTGAGAAAAAAAAGTTACAAGAATGTAATTCAGTCAGTACAAGCCCTCTAATGTCGTTGACGATTCACGTTTATTAATAATCTAGATAAGCATTCAAAAAGATCACATCCAAATACATATTGTATTCATGTTTTACCATTCGCTCTTATATTGTCACATTTCGCTATTGCTAATTTCGCATCAGCAAAGAATTTCACAAAGCATATGGAACGAGCAATAGACAGCCTGTCACGTACAGTTGCGTGGTACACTGGTCGTCGTGCTTGCTAATTGGATTGTTCACTCAATGCACTTGATGTGGATCATCTCCAAGTAAACTGTCGACTAACCGTTTCTACCCGAATGCATTCATTGGGCATCTACGTCGTAACGTAGAGTATAAAAGTCCACCAAATTAATATTTCATACTAGGGGACGAGGGCGAGACTTTTAAGTAAATAAGGAAAAAAGTCAGGGATTGTGTTTATCTGCAGAATAGCGGTTACGTGACGGTGAAAAAGGCCCCTTGGCCGTACTCAGGAGCGACAACGGTGGCGACGCTTGCGAAACGTGTCGGATATCTTATAAAATTCGGTACCGTCGGCAAACGCCATCGTTGCCGCTTTTCCAGAAAACTGTAAGAAACGTGTAAGTTTAGAACTACTTTTTGTTGATTCGGTTACGGATTTGCGGGTTGACATCAGACCTTTGGAGGCAGCTACGTCACTCGTTCGTTCAGTGGGAACTGGCTCGTCGATGGCTGATGAAGTGGACGGCACTGGTTGTTCCGGCATGTTTACTTGCATCTTGTGGCATACTTCAAATGCCTGGCCTACGGTACGCACGATTCTCATTGCCTGGCTCTATAACATAGAAGAAAACGACATTTTTAATAACTTAGTTTTATTACATTTAAAAAGAAAAGAGCGGGTCAATCCAGTGGAAGAATGGTTGCTCTCAAATTGAAAAAGAGTTCGGCAGTTCGTACCAATGTACCTATGGATCTTATTTGTAAGTTTTGTACGGTTAGGAATGTTTAGTAACAATTTCTCTATTGTAATACATAATAGTATAACTAATGTTACACTGTTATGAATAAAATTATAATGATTTACTATTTCTTAAAGGAAATTAAAATGTCTGTAATAAATTTAAAGGACGTTGTTTATACAAGGCCATTTATATATTATCTTGCAATTCAAACAGTTGAAGGGAATAAACGAGAGGGGTAGACAATTTCATTCGCAGATCTTTCAGCTATATGAAAAATGTAATATAACAATACGGAATATCTTATATAAACTCACGGTTATACATAGAGGGTACGTTTTATCGTGAGTTTACCAGTGATAAAAACAGACATAACTGGTTTAAAGCTGGTTACAAAAGATGTCATAACAAATCCGGTGTAACCTATACCAGGTATAATGGAAATAAAGGTAGCTTCGAGTGATATATACAAAAGGGGGATAAACAGACTGTGGCGTGGGAGGTGACATGTGTTTAATTAATGTTCTCTCATTCTTTGGACGATGGATGAAAAGAGATTATTTACACAACGATATTTTGCAATCTTCAAAGTGGCGCTCGTGAAAAATCAAAAGCGTCAAATGTAGGATTTCATTGAGCTTCCCACGCGACAGCAAAATTACGCTAGCGGACGAAATGATTTTTCAACGAAAAACTGTCAATACGTAGCGACAGAATTAGGCGTACAATTTTTAATAATTTGTAATTTTACATTCACTGGCAAAGGTCCATATTAAAATGTTTTATTTAAGTAAATTATAAAACAGATTAATATTTTATAGTAGCGGTGCTATTTTCTAATGGGCTATATATAGCAGGTGTAATAATTAAACAAAAAAATAATAATTTTGATGATTTAAATATAATAATAATAAAAATAAATAAAATTAATTTGTACTCTCATAAAAACAACAAACATAAAAAATACAGGTTGATCGATAATGGTGCTGCGAGACGGATCAAGAAAATTCGTGAAAGGTTTTACTTTTCATCCCTACACTACCGTCTTGTAGGCTATATTATAACATTGATTGAAGTTATACTAAACGATAGGACATTCTATTGATATCGTCTAGAAATTAGTACAGAATTCAGGTTATATAGAGCGTACGTGTTTGCTTCTACGGTAATCGAATATAAGAATTATTATAAGTGCAATAGTGTGCGTCGTGTACACTGGTTGGCCGCGCGCCAGGGTCAAAACACGGTGTGCATTTCCAGAAACAGTGATACGACGTACACACCATACAATTCCCGTCACTCAAATGGATTATTTAAAAATGGTCTAATTTAATTGACAGTCGGTGAATATATCTCATGTTTAAAATTCCTGACGTCTTCTTACATTTTCCAAACGTACCTACCTATTTCTCAATATTACCGCCCACGTTTAATAATTTATCAGTCCAACACGATTGATATCTATATGAAGAAAAGTTGTTTAAATGTTTTTAATGATTTAACTATTTACAACTTACAAACATTGATACTTATAATTGGTTTTGAAAACTTTCCGTATAAATAAATATCCTATTCCATCCTTAATAAATAATCTGAACAGACTTCGCTCTCATAATGGGTTTTAGCATATCAATCTATTGTTTGATGGGAAGCTGGTCTGTATTGAAGTTTACGTTTAAACGTCAAATTTGGATAATATTGGCCCTACCATGTTGTTTTCTTCAGCGTAAACTAAAAAAGACATCAACGTCGTGTTTGACATTTCTTTAATTAATTTCACGTAGCCCCTTGGAGACGCGTTAGTTTAAGTCATGTGCATACGTATTGGATCAATGTCCTTTGTGATTATATAACCAACTATAACATAAGATTATAATTTGTTCGTCCTGCCTAACATACCTACTAACATTTGTCTATATATATTGTTTTCTGTCCATTTCAGGCAATTCAACAGCTCTGCAGCTTCAAAATTTAAACTTTAATAAGTAAGTATTTTGTATATCACATTGTGACACAGTAATCACTGAATAGCAGAGTCTACAGAAGCCCTTACAATTACTAAGCGGAAAACTCGATACTGGCGAAATCTAAAGGGTACCGCCATTAAGCAAAAAGAAGGAGACGCATTTCAGTCTGGTTGTTGACTTGATGGACACTCGTCATTTAAAACCATTCTGATGCTGATCCTTTTTGCAGCTGGGAATTTGAGTAGGCAACAGTACAAAGTTTCTTTGGTTAGTACGTCGAAACTTTATAATATAAAATAATACAATTTAGAAAATGTGTGGTTGATAATTATATCAATACCTGTAAAGGGCCCGAAACGTTGTTTTGTTTGGAAAAAACCAATATACGCGATTTAAATCCGGAAAAATAGCTTCATTTCTTATGTGTAAAAATCGAGAAAACCTAAGAATGGTATTTATATTTGTTGCTATGTGTTATATTTTAATTATTTGTAACTGAAAGAATCTGAATTTAACTACTTGGTCAAAGAAATGTTATTGGCATCCAGAAAAAGTTTGATTAACTATATTAATAGTATTTCTTTTTATATTTACATCAGGCCTGTAGCGACAAAATTAAGTAATAAGTGTAAATATTTTTTAATCGACTTCGAAAAAAGGGGGAAGTTCTCTATTCGACTGTACGTTCTTTTTTTGTACGTATATTACGCGATAACTCGTAAAATCGCGATAACCGATTTTGATGATTCTTTTTTTTTGGAAAGTGGGTACCTCAGTAGTGGTACCATTTAAATTTGAAGAATATATTCCACCTCTAAGAGTGGCAAACTAGGGGATAAATGACTTTTGAGGTCAGTTTTTTTATTACACTGTACTGTGATTATTCAGTCCGTATTGCACTGACTTACATCTAAACTCTTTGTCATCACCTGTCTTGTATGACATGTTTAAAAGGTACAGAATTAAAATATACCACTACTACATATATTAATAACTCTTTGAACCAAATTTGCAAGTATTCAAAACGGTTCTCTATGAATAGAATGTTATCAAGTCTATACTCACCGAACTCTACTGTTCGAGTAGCTAAGTTTATCGAGTACAACAATACATCATAATATATATATTATGTATCAAGGTCCGCTCGGATAATACATAAAGAGAATTGTTGAGATAAAATAAGTTTGAAGCTGAGTGATGGACTACCGTATTGACTAGACTTTACATTCATTACATATGGTTTTTATATAGAGGAATTTCACAACTTTAGCAAAGTGCTAAATTGAACATTCAATGACCCAATAATGAGTGAAGTAGCAATCTTTACTGACATCAAATACGGCAATAGAGAAAGAAATGTTTTGGAACCCTACATCTAGTAGTAAAAAAGTAAATATTCTACTAAAATAAGAAATAGGTGTAATCAAATGGTAATGGTAATTGGCTGCCCAAACGTAAACATATTTATGAAAATATTTTACATTCTTCCCCCGTTAACACCTGGAAATTCCTAAAATCCATTGGTGTAGGTAAACCGCAAAGTTCGTACAGTATAACTTCTTCCTTTTCCTTAAGTGAGCTGAATACTCACTTTGCCAAAACTACAACTTTAGACACCAACACCAAACAACAAAGTATTGCATTTATTAGAGCACTGCCCAAAATTTCAAATTCTGTTTTTATTTTCACCTCAGTTACTGAAGATGAGATCAGGAAAGTGGTTTTGTCAATCAAATCTAATGCTATTGGGCACGATGACGTAAGTAGAATTATGGTAATGTGTATTTTAGAATGTATACTACCTATTATCACGCACGTAGTTAATTTTTCGATGATGACTGGGGCTTTTCCTTCTCTATGGCGAATCCCTCCCTCTCCGAATTTAATCCCTCTTCTAAAATTTACTAACCCCAGTCTCAATTCTTCCTTATCTTTCTAAAGTCTTAGAGGCACAAACAATTGTCTGTTTATGTTTACTCAAACAATATCCTTTCTCCATTTCAATCAGGTTTTCGACCAGGTCATAGTACTTCTACTGCCTTGCTAAAGATTGTTGAGGATGAAGGAGGGGCATGGACTGTACTCTACTTACTGTGCTGGTCCTAATTGACTTCTCCGATGCATTCAACGTCGTTGATCATGACCTTCTCCTTGCTACCTTAGACCACCTAAACATCTCTTCAACGGCAGCTCAATGGTTCCCTTCTTATCTCCGCGATCGCCAACAAGCGATTCGTATTGTTCGCTCGTTCTCAGAATGGTGTAAACTCATTTCCAGGGTACCTCAGGGCGGAATTCTCTCTCCTCTCTTGTTTTCTATTTTCATAAATCTGATTAGTCCAGCATCAAATGTTCTTACCACCTGTATGCCGACGACTTGTAGCTTTATACCGAGGTTAATGTCGGTGGCACCAGTGATGCAATTGTATTAATTAATAATGACCTTCATCGCGTCTCGGTTTGGTCCCAAAGGTTTGGTATCAACGTCAAGTCTTCCAAGTGTCAAGTCATCCTTGGAAGCTCACGCCTTTTTTCGTCTTGTGATACGTCGTGCGTGCCACCAATAATGTTTGAGAACATAGTGATTCCTCTGTCAAATCAGGTAAAGAATCTGGGACTTATTATTGACGCAGGCCTTACGTGGGATTCCCAGGTGTCTGACGTTTGTCGTAGGGTTACAGACACACTAAGGGTCGTATTCTAGAACTCTACTCAATGCTCAAGTCAGGATTGCAATTGAAACACAAGCACTGGAAATACGACCCTAATGGCACGGACTTGAGTATGATTTCTAGTGCTTTAAATCATACTCAAATCCTGACTTGAGCATTGAGTAGAGTTCTAGAATACGACCCTAAGAGCTCTATACAGGTTTAAGAACTGTCTTCCAATTAAAGCCAAAACTC